TTCCCCAAATCCAACACATGGGGTAGGGAATTTAGGGAATTTAGGGAAATTAGGGAAGGGAATTTAGGGAATTCCCTAAATCCAACACATGGTCCGGGCTGGGAGTCAGGAATGTTAGGGAATGCGCTAAAACCAACACATGGGGCTGGAAATTAGGGTATGTAAAGACTTTAGGGATTTAGGGAGTCTGCAGGAACTCACGCATTCTGTAAATTCGAGGCATGGAAGCAGTGATTAGAGAATTTAGGGAACTCGACCTCGCGACGTCGCCGGTTGACGTGTCTGTGCAACTGATACTTGTAGTAATATTGATATTATTTTGAAAACTTTGAAAACTATAATACTCATACGAGTACTAATACTTATAGTAATACTACTGGTGAAACTGATAGTATGCTAGTATGAATACTGATGTTCCCAAGAATACTTGAAATCATGTACATTGTATGAATAGTCTTGATGCGAATACTAATATACATACTATAGCTAGTATTATCGCTAGTATGAATATTGGCTATGCATATTCGTGAAATTACTCATTTTTGGAGTACTCATATTCATGCTAATATTAGCACTAAGGCTAGTGCGAACGTGCATAATAACATGCTCATACATGAATGTTAGCATTCGTATTAATATCAGCATTGGTATGTTTTTCAGTAGTACTAGTAACTCATACGAAGAGTAACCTCAAGTTTCATATTCCGACGAATACCAACGCATGTTTTGTTCATACTAATTTTAATTCTACTACTAGTATCTACTCCTAATATTGAAAAAACTGTACTAATACCAATTTTAGAATTGATGTGAACACGAACTTTAATGTTCTTGCCAATACTAATATGCATAGTAATATTAGTTAGCATTAATGTATAGGAAAACTAATGTTCTTACGAATACTAATAATCATGTTCCCCTTTTATATTCATATAAGAATCGTCATGCCTAGATACGTACTAATGCTAGTACTCATGCTAATACGAGTATTAATACCAATACAAGCATAGGTATGAATATTCCTACGGGTATTTATGCTCATGTTCTTAACAAAATTATTCTCAGTACGAATACCGACATTAATAGTCTCTTTAGAACCATATTGATATTAATATGAGCACTAATACTTCGGCTAATACGAACATGCAAAATACTAGCAAAATTATTTGTGCTCATACAAATATAGAAAGATTATTACATACACATATTAATATCAATACCAATTTGAATTTACAAACATCATATGAATGTCAATATCGTTTTTGTAATGTATACTAAAGAATACATCAGAATAAGGCACAAGGAAATGAATGCATCAGATTGTTAAAAACTCAATGTTTTCATTTACCAATATGTATGGTTATAGTATTATACTAATATACTAATAAATTAATATACTAATATACTGAGAAACTGATATACCAATAGACCATTGTTACTAATATACCAATATACGAGTATACCCAAAAATTTTTTTATGAATATATATGTTTTGTTTATATACCAATATACTGAATATACACATATGAATACTTATACACATAATGTACTAAGACTAAGTTTTTAAAGCCCAGCCCACGTCTAATATTAATACGAATACTAACACGAACACTAACACTAACACTGCTATAGACATATATTAAATTAAACTGGAGCACTAATACTCATATTAATATTAAGACTAACACTGACGTTGACACTGACACCAGCATCAGCACTAACAGGAACACTAATCAAACGAACAGTAATATTGGACAGATACCAGCAGCATTGTTAGAACTTCTAAAATTAGTAATGACACAAAACTAATAATAATGCTAACGCTAGCAAAAATATTAAGGTTACTACTCACAATAATTGAGGTTAAAACTTAGAACAAAATTAAGTCAAGACCAATGTTAACACTGTTTTTTAAGACTGAAACTAATAATAAGACTTTGACAAGATGACAACTCATGTTAATATCAATACCAATATGAATTTACAAACATCATATTAATGTCAATATCGTTTTTGTAATGTATACTAAAGAATACATCAGAATAAGGCACAAGGAAATGAATGCATCAGATTGTTAAAAACTCAATGTTTTCATTTACCAATATGTATGGTTATAGTATTATACTAATATACTAATAAATTAATATACTAATATACTGAGAAACTGATATACCAATAGACCATTGTTACTAATATACCAATATACGAGTATACCCAAAAATTTTTTTATTAATATATATGTTTTGTTTATATACCAATATACTGAATATACACATATGAATACTTATACACATAATGTACTAAGACTAAGTTTTTAAAGCCCAGCCCACGTCTAATATTAATACGAATACTAACACGAACACTAACACTAACACTGCTATAGACATATATTAAATTAAACTGGAGCACTAATACTCATATTAATATTAAGACTAACACTGACGTTGACACTGACACCAGCATCAGCACTAACAGGAAAACTAATCAAACGAACAGTAATATTGGACAGATACCAGCAGCATTGTTAGAACTTCTAAAATTAGTAATGACACAAAACTAATAATAATGCTAACGCTAGCAAAAATATTAAGGTTACTACTCACAATAGTTGAGGTTAAAACTTAGAACAAAATTAAGTCAAGACCAATGTTAACACTGTTTTTTAAGACTGAAACTAATAATAAGACTTTGACAAGATGACAATAATTAATAAAGGATGAGGCACACAAACTGGACTCTGTCTTTTACCACTCCGACAAGACGCGCCGAGAGTGTAAATGGTGTCCATAAAACTGGACCCTGTTTTTTACCAGTCTGTCAAGAGGCGTCGAGAGTGCAAACTTTGTACGGGAACACAAACACCATCGGTATTTACAGTGGTTTCGGCTCTTATTCATGACGCTGTGAAGACAGTAATGAGCAGGACAATGGCCGAGGTTGGTCCTGGGGGGGGGTTACCATATATATATATATATATATACACATAATATGTGTACATATATACATATATATATATATATGATATATGTGACATATGTACATACATTCATACATACATACATACATATACATATATATATATAAACAGGTGTAGATAGTATAAACCCTAAACCCAAGCCAAGCCTTCGTCCAGGTGGGGAGCCCAGGCGGGCCTTTGCGCTGGATGGACAGTTCGGGGGTGGAGTCTGGAAGTCGAGACTCTACCCAAAGGGTCCGATGTACGGATATAGTAGAATGTAGGGTTTCCATATTAGGAATTACTATTATGACTTGGGGAAGTATACCCCCATAACAGTACATAGGGCCCTTTGGGTTAGGATGTCGAGCTTTGCAGGGTTTTGGGGTTGAGGTGCTGAGGATGCAATGATCGTAATGAGCAGGTCATGTGATTTCGGGGGTTTGCGGCCTTGTAGGTTTCCCTGGACCCTAGGCCTCAGCGGTTTGCAGCAGGTTTGCGAAAGTGTAGTTTTGCACTTGACGATCTGGGGTCCTGCAGGCCCTTACAAGCAAGATCGCGGAAATCTGGCAATCTCAGTCCGTATGTTGGTTGCTTTATGTTCTCTGCGTGGTCACAGTGCCATCATGTGCCCCAAATCCGATTATGCTCTGGCCCCCAGATGCGCAGGCCTCAGGGTTTGCCGTTTAATGGTCATGGCCGCCAAGCCCTGTCAGTGCTAGGCCCATGGAGTCCATATCTTGGCTTGAGGAACAAGGCTTGGAGGTTAAGGTCTCCACTGGGCCCATGCTCCCGAGACCCTAAGCACACAAAAGGTTGATTGTGTTCTTGGATTGCTTGGCCAGAGCTGGCGGCAAACAGGTGCGAAACTATGTGCTCCAGCCGTACACCATGGTCAAGGAAGGGCTGATATAGATGCCTTGGTATTTAGAACATGGTTTTGGGGCTCATTCTACTAACTATAACTGCATATAAGAAGGAGCCCCCAAAATAGTGTATGTGTGTCCCTATAGTGCATCGCTGAGGCCCTCGCTTCTCGCTGCTTTTTGGGCCCGCCAGTCTGAACTCGTAGCGAGTCTTGAGATTTGCGAGAGGATGTCCGATCCGGTCACGAGCGTGGCGATGCAGACCGTGTTCTCGATGGAGTGACTTGGTGCAATGCTTTCTCGAAGGAGGGTTCGGAATCCGTGCAATGGCCCCCTCAAGCTTATCAAGCAGAGCTTCATGCTGATTGGGAAGCAGAGCTTGTTTTGACAGTCATCCGGAAATTCAATTCGCTGAGCTGCCAGCAGTCTCTACTCCTTTGTCGGCTGTCCCTGCGTCTTGGTTTGCTGAGCGATGACTACCGCAAACCCGTTTAGTGTGCAGCGATGAAGGTTGAATGCGGACAGCAGCAACAACGATGACAACAACCCACAACAGAAACAGCAGGCAGCAGCAACCTCCAACAGCACCAACAACACCAACAATATCAGCATCACAAGCAACAACAGCAGCAACAGCAACAACGCAACAGCAGCACTAGCATCAGCAGCCTCCGGGTCTCTGAAATTTTGTTGTGGTAGTTTTTGTAACCTCTTAAAGGGAACTCCAGAAAGTTGGAATATGGTTTCAGGGTAGGATACCTTATAATTTACCAGAAAGGGCTTAGGATATTCATATTCCAACTTTCTGGCTTTTACTTTACAGGATGTAACCATCGGCCCGGCTGGAGGACTTGGACTCGCACGTGGACGCGCTGCTACGCATGGAGACAGCGAGTTGAAAAATCGGCTGCATGGACGCTTGTTGTCGCTTGCCTAACCCCTTAACCAGCCCTAAACCCAAAGCCCTATAAGACCGTAGAGGTCCCCCATGCCGCCCCCCAAAACAAGGATGTGCATGAGCTGACCGATGCTCTGTTATGGCCTCAAGACTGCAGATGATCGCTTTCGCACATGCCTTTGCAAGAGTAGGACAGGCACACTTTGCCAGGCTATCCCATGAAAATCCTGCAGCTTCCCGGATCGCTTTAGCCAGTTCCTTGTGCGGATACTGTGCATCCATGGCTCGCTCGAAGATATCGCTCATTCTGGTGGCCGCCGCATTGGCGGCACTTTGCCGGACCACCGCCTTCGTTCCTGCTGCAAGGGAGGTGCTTTTGGGGCCTTAATAGTTAGTATATGGTTTCGGGGTATATGATACTCTACTCAGAATAAGGGAACGCCAGAATAGAAAAAAGTAGAATAGAGTTTTGTGGCTTATTATGCCATAATTATGACAAGGAACCCCCCAAAACAGAGAGGTGCCGCGAGCGGAGGTTCTTCTTCCAGCTGCCCTTGCACCCATGATGACCTGGGCCTGAATAGTTGAGAGTTCTGAGTTTAAGTTTTAGGGCCTGACTCCATGATGCCCCGGGGCTCTTTCGAAATACCTGTTCAGCTTCGATAAATGGGATTGCTAAAATTGATATTTTAGTTGTGGGTCCTCGAAGAAAGGCTCTGGATGAGTGGTTGGCGGTGTTCAGGCAGTGGAGTGCGTTTCCAGAAACATGACAGAGACATCTTCCATAGTCCATGCTACATAAAACATAAAAGCCTGGATGATGGAATGCGATCCTCTTATAGTCCTTGTTTGGTCCCCACATGACTACACTAGTTTACCCTAAAATTCTATCAATGCGCGGCATATTGGAATTGTAAACCAACCCTTAGTCTAATGTGCTTGACTTGGAGGGGTGTTGCATCGATGTGGGCGGGTCGAAGTACATGTTCGGGTGTTCCCCTATGTCCAGTAGGAACCTGGTAGATTAAGTCGCATGAAAGCTGCAGGTTCATGGGCAGTTATGAGCGGGGTTGCAAGTACGAGAGCTGTAGGCATAGCCCATATACAAGGACATATAGCCCCACTTGTAGCTACCCATAAAACCTCCAAGCAGGGACCCCCCCATTCAAGCGCTGCCCCGGATCCCCCCCCCCCCCCACGTTCCTCAGGTGTGCATGGTGGTTGAAAGACCCGACGGCCGAAAAGCTACTAATCCTAAACCCTATAAACTCCCTAAACCCTAAGAAGAACCGAGGATGGTGGAGCCTGCTTTTGCCCAAAGGATGGAAGCAGACTTCAAGACCCCGCAGTACTACGAGGAGGAACCAACTTCCGACCTGTCCTACCTTCTTTTCTTCACCGCTGCACTTCTCCTCTACGTTGGCAAGACTGCCTTCGACAAGAGTGGTGCCAAAAGCTTGGGCGATGCAGTGAACAAGTGAACAAATTGGCGTTACTCGCCAGTACTGGCAGACTCCACGTCGGGGTTCTTATTGAGACACGAGATGCGAGACGCTGAAGAAATAAATGGCACATGGGGATTTCGGGAAGCAAGGGACCCCTAGATAGAATCCTGAATACTTAAAGGATCCCATATGCTGCTGCCATCGCTCGCTCTTTACTGAGTCTCGGGAAGCTGTCGATAGATTTGGAAGGGGCCTTTGGCCTGCTGTATGGACATCTCAGTACCCTAAACCCTAAACCCCTAAACCCTAAACCCTAAACCCCTAAACCCTAAACCCCTAAACCCTAAACCCCAAACCCTAAACCCTAGTCCCTGGCTTCTTCGGTATCTTCAACTCTTTATACTGTAAAGGCTTAAGTCTGCTCTGTGGTTCCCAAAGACTCAATGCTAGCGGTTTAGGGTTTAGGGTTTAGGGTCTTCGATCAGATCCTAAATTGCATTCATGGTATAGCTTGTTCGATCTTCTTGGTCCTAGAATCCTCTCATGACATTGCGAGAGCCTCGTAAGGCATTGTCTCTGCCTTGCTGTAAGCCCGTATTCGGAATTCCAAGCTCCGAACGGCTTCGGCTGTGTGCCACAGCTTCAGACCTCAAGAATACCGTTTACAGTACATGGTTCTGCTTAGTCATACTCTCATACTGCTAGTGTGTAACACTGGTTCTGCCGCTGTGCTTAGCAGATTTTGTCATTGTCATTCCTGCGACTGTGCGGATGATTTTTGAGAGTGAGTGGCGATGTTACGGTCCTGGTAGAGTTTGTGAAAGTTCCGATTATTGCACTAATCATTAGCAGTACCTGGATGGTTGCCGTCTGGTTGCCATCCTTCGTTTTGCGATTATCGCTGGTGTTCTTGCTACAAGTCCTGATGCTGCAGCTTTGCTTCTCCTTTGAGCCACAGTCGGCCCTACTCCAAAGACAGAGTCTGGGCGCTGAGACAGGAGTTTCAAACGAGAGGTACAATAGATAGAAGTCCTCAATATAGACTCCTACTTTCCAGGGTTCTATACTAGGGTTCCCCATCTTCTGAAACTCCAATTCGGAAGTAGCTGCAGTTGTAGGTGTTTGCCATGGCTAGCCAGGCCAGCACTTGTCTGGGTAAGAGCAGTGCCTTTTCCTACACGTTAATTCAAAAGATGAACTCGTCGCTTCGTTCAATCTTCCCTCTGATTTTGTTTATGTAATCTTGCTTGATTGCCAGGGGTGTTGCTAAGTTTAGTGTTGTAGACTTGTTCCCATGACCACGGCTTGCACTGATGAGCATTGTTAGGTTAGGCTGTTGGGCATGCAGCCGAAGTGGCAATTTTCAGACTGTAAGACAGTTCATATGCATAGCACGCATGCGACGGCGAAGACCGCGACCCACACGGCTGGCACTAGTGCTGCAGCTAATGGCGCAGCTCTAGCTGCCTTTGCTGCCAATGCTGATGCTATCGCTACTGCTGCCGCTGACTTGTTTTCCTACCTATTATTGTTGGATGCATCACGCAGCCACCTGTTTGCTATGGGACACAGTTTGTTTTGCAGTATCTGGGCGAATCGCACATTTCACATTGCCTTGCTGCCTGGGATGAGCGCCCTATAGGACCCCAGAAGCTCTTCAGGTAGCCGTCCTTAGCGCCGGCATCGCTCCAGCTTGGGACGCATTCTTTGCTGTTGGGGCCTCGATATACGTTGTCCAGCATTGTAGGGTTCCGGGATGTTCGGAGTTTCGAGTTTGGGGTTTGGGCTTCAGGGTTTCGGACTTGGGGTTGTCAATTCAATTTGCGGGGTTGGTGATAAGAATTTTTCGAGGGGCACTTTTCGATTCCTCAACACAAGACTGGTCTTGTGGAAGCTGTTGCTGGAAGTCTATGTCGATGCACATTCCCTCTTCGAAGGTCGTTCTTGTCGAGGAATGCACCTCTAAACCTCGACGGAGAGAGAAGAAGATGCCTCTAGTATGTTTTGGGGTAAAGGTCTTGCAAAACCGAGAAGCACAAATGAATCTTACCCTTACGCCGTTCCATTTCCGCAAGATGTGCAAGGAGTGGTGCAGGGCATCATCTCAGGTCGTGATTGAAAAGAACTAGGTTGGACTTTCCTTATTTGGGTTTATACGGGACCCTATATATATATATATATATATTTATTTATATTTATATTTATAGATATTTTTCAGGGTGTCTAAAGGCCAACCCAGAGAATCCCAGCTCCCGATCCAACCATTTTCCAGGGTTCCTCAGGCGGCCGGGCGCCAGGAAAATTCCGAAATCAACCCCACTTGATCCGGAAGCCTCAGTCCTGCATGCTCTAGGACCCAGAGTAGGCCCTTATTCCCTTTTTTTAGGGTTTAGGTTCTCTTATAACCCCCTTTAACCCAAAAAGGGCACCCTTTTTTCTCCTAGGTTACTCTTGGGTCTAGTGCTTCTGTGGGACCTCCGGGAAATTAAGGAGTCCTTGAATGACAAACGCAGCGCACACCGCAAACAGGAACAAATCTTAATGTAGGAACCTGATTAGGAAACCCTGGGCAAAAAGTAGGATTCATATAAGGAACCCTCATAAAGGCCCAACGTTTCTTAATCAGGTTCCTACATTGAACCCAATCGCCGATGCGAGGAGCGAGTTTTTTGGCCCTTTGTCGCCTTACTTCTCTGCTCGCTGCTAGTGCAGCTTATCTGCGATGTGGCCGCCGTTTCACCGGGTTGATCACCTTCTGGGCTTCCCTAGATCCCAATTATACTATAGAGACCTTAATAATCCCCCAAATTTTTTTGGGGGTGCCGTATTATAGCGTTATATAGTAAAATATCCTCCAAAACCCTATGTTGTGATGTTGCATCATAGTCTATTGTTGTACTGTGTTGCTAGACCGTAAAGTTGCTTCAAGAAGATTCGGGTTTCCCAGAAGTCATTCCTCTAAGCCTAAAACCCCAAAGGGTCCTATGTACTGTTATGGAGAATACTTCCCTAAGTCATAATAGTAATTCCTAATATGGAAACCCTACATTCTACTATATCGGTACATATAGGACCCTTTGTAAACTTGCCTCGCAGAGGTTCGGGGCTTCGCACCTGACGGCCAATTTTTTCTCTGTCCGGATGGATGTTTTGTTTCTATGGGGCCCGTAAGCCCAGACAGGTTTTTTGGGCACTAAAGGAGGCTGCGCTCACTCTCGTTTTTCCGGGCGTTTCGGGCCAGAGGGCACGCTAAGTGTTCACTTCGAAGGCGTTTCAGGGGGGGGACGCCACCACCACAGCTGCTACTACTGATACTATATACTGACGATGGCAGTCGGAACTTTGCATAACAAGGGTGAGGAGCAGAAACCATCGCAGGGTGTCACGCATCATGTCATCAATAGCCTCTGTGTAGCTACGACCAGCCTGCCCCGTGAAGCAATGCACACAGTAGGCAGCGGCTGTATTTCCTTGCGCTACCCCGAATTCTACGGCCCTTGACGTCCCGCGCCGTTCGTGCCAAACTTGCAGAGCTTCTCGGAATGCCGGGCACAGGCGAGCTCTGAAGCCCGTTTACAACTCCGCAAGGCGGAACAGCCGAAGTTTCAGGCGGGAGCAGATGGCAGTTTTGGGGTTCAGGGGTGTAGGGCCGGAGAAGGTATGGCTCCCGAATTTAGCTTTGAGGTCAACACCACTCTCAGAAGTCAGCATGTGAACAGACAGTAGGGGCGCTTGTAATTAAAATAGGGCTTTGGGGTAGATTACTATAATTACAGTTTGGAGACTATTATACTATAGTAACAGTAGGGGGTAGAGTATACTATACTTATAGTAAGGAGCCCAGCGCTTCAGTGCTTGGCCTGAAGGGCCGGGAGTCGCTAGCAGTACTGACAGCTGCCACAATGAAGCTTGAAACGGGGATGACCACGACACGCATGTGGTAAGGCTGGAGCAGCGGCTGCTGGTGATGACCAGATGACGGCATTGATGCTGCTGGTGACGAGGATGATCATGACGATGATGATGATGATGATGATGATGATGATGATGGGTGGTGGTGCTGGTGGTGATCGCGGTGATACTTTGTCGCTGTTGGTGGCCACGTTGTTCTGTTGGAGAGACTGGTCACGACGATGGAGGTAGTTTTGGGGATAGTCTTTATCATGAGATGTTGGAGATCTACGTGTGGGCGACGACGACCTTGACGACCTTCGGTAGCGGTAGCATGTCATAACTCCTCGTCATCACCTCTCTTGCCATCACTTGCAATATCAGCGAAGCCACCAGCACAGCCATCGCCGCAGTCGCTACTACCACGACAAAATCACTACCACTACCATCATCATAATCTTCTTCTACATCAGAACAATCGCGGTCATCGTCATCGTCATCATCGCCATCCTGATGGTCACAATCACTAGCGACACCATAATCAGCAGAAGCATGCTCGCCATCCTAATTAGCATCATCATCACTTCCATCATCGTCACCATCCCCCTCATCCCCTTTCGGCGATGTAAACCCAGGTTTCGCTAGTGGTGAAGTCATCATGGATTTAGCCCAAGAGCACCTCGAAGCTGCTTTGCGTTGGTATCTGCGCAAAATCAGGGATGGATGTCGATGCACATGCACGATCGCCACCCCAACCACGAAACTGTTTGACGGTGGCCCTGCCTTTTGAAACAGCGCCGTGGAGGTACTTTCTGTTCGTCTATGTCCGTAGCCCAGAAGCTGACACCGCGCATTGTCCAAAGAAATGCTGAACTTTGCAGCTCGAGGGTCGTGTCCTGTGACCAGTGCCGGCTCACATCGCTTAAGCTAAAGTGCCTTATGTGGATTCTGCCCATAGGTAGTAGAGGCGTTTATACTGTAGGGCTTACAAAGCTCGGGTATACTGCAGCAGGCTGTCATGTGGTATTATGTGATATGGTGCAAGCTTCCTTGATCTACTTTGCTGGAGTATGATATTACCCAAATTATGGAAGCACGATTGCCTACATCAAAGCAGACAATTCCATGCTTGTGCACTTGCAGTT